TACAAAGAAGATTAAACAGAAGCGCTCGGATCACACACAGCAAATTAAGCCAGTAAAATTCTGAAAGTCTTTTACTCTTTCATTCCCTTCCTTTATCTTCCCCCTTAGGCCAGCTTCTCTATCGTCATTTACTGGTAGAAAGCCCGCAATGTGCAAGCTGGCTAGGAGCCAATAGCAATGTCTGGCAGACCCACACATGGCAAAGCACCTCCAGGTTTGCGTTACTCAATAACCAAATCTTAAAGGTACTTAAGCCATTATGCTCTTCCTTCCACAGACAAGTGACTCAACACCAAGAGATTTTGAAGATTTAGGTTCCGTTTTGTCTGTGTGGGTGTCGGAATTAGATGATTCACATGTTCAATGAAAAATAACACCATGGTAAAAACAATGATTTCACTTACAGCTTAAATGATCCACAAAGTCATTTAATGATATTCAAAGTTGTTTTTCTTACTATCTCATCGCTCATTAACAACGAAATGGTGCAAGACTGTTTCTGTTCAGCCTGTTCAGGTCTAACTTGAATATTTGATTGAGAGCGTTTCTCGACTTGAACATAGAGCATCTAGATCTCGAGGAAAATGCAGAGTTCAGTAACCCTGCCATCTCTCTTAGACACACACCCACCCCCATCCACCCAACACACACTGTCATTAACTGCACTGTCTGTACTTCCTGTCCCAGGGTAATGTTTTCCAGACTCTTCCATCCCTGCAGCTTTTCCTCTGTACTGGGCAAGATTTTGTTCCACCGATAACACGGCGATGTTTGTAAAGCGGGACTAGGGTCTAGATGGGAAACTGTTAAGGGGAAGTCAATGTTTAACAGAATTCTGGAATCATAAGTGAAGGACATCAATGATTATAAGAGTTTGTTAAGTTTGCATCAGTCAGAAGTTAACCCCTTACCCCTCACTACATGCCATTGCCTTATGGCAACAATGACTTTTCTTTATTTTTTGCCAGTATGACAGTATAAATGTTGTTTTTTTCTTTCCATTTGGGAAAATTAAGGCTTTCTGATTAACATTCTTTATTTCATCACATCCCTTGTGTACATCTTACAGTTTTTAAGTTTGCATCAATCAAAAGTTAACCCTTTACTGCATTGCCATATGGCAATAATTTATGGAAACAATTAATTTTTTTTTTAATAACTGTTGCCTCATGGCAATGTAAAAGTCTTTTTTTTTCTTTTCTTTTAGGAAAACAAAGGCTTTGTGAGTAGCTTAAGTTATGATTTGCTTTGCATGAATAAGACCAGTTTGCACATAAGGCCATAAAATATAATTGTTGCCATGTGACAACAGCATGCCACAACTGAAATCTGGAGTGTTTGCAGTGGAAGTAAATAAATACTCTTCCATTTTCATATTTTTTAATATTCCAAGTTGATGGTTTTAATCAATATCCTTAAAACATTTATGTCCAATGAAAAACATGTATCTCCATTTTTTGAGATTTTTACTTTTCTGCATCATTTGAGCAGCTGTCCTTTACATTGTGTGAAAATTTCATGATGATTAGACCAATAGAAATGCTCCAAAACGGCTTAGAATAAAATCTCTTTCCATTAACTTACATTGAAATAAAGAACGTTTTTGCCCTCTCCTGTAAAGTTACTATTTTGGAGACAGCAACGATATGTGGATGTTATGCACATGTTCGTTCATGTGGATGATGATTGTGGCTGTATCTTGTGGTAGCACATTGGTTTATTACCATTATATGCATTGCAGACTACAGTCTATTGTTGCCATATGGCAACAAAATGCAAAATACACCTCCCATACACAAAATATAAATGTTTTTAATATAAAATATTTAATATTTCTAATAAACAGGTTATTGTCATGAAGTAAAGTGTTAAGTACAGTTTTTGGTGTAACTTTGGTAAACATAAGTAAACGGTTGTATTTACAGTCACATAATATCAAGGAAAATGTAGTTTGCATGATTACATGAAAACCAGATATGATCTATATACACTATATACAAACAATTACCACTGAAACGAAAAAAGAAGATATATGTAAGTCACAGAAGTAACGATATTTTGTGCTCATAATTTCATGTTAATGCAGTTGGTTGGGGCACAAATATACTCATCCCACAAAAATACTTTTATTGAATCATTTAGGAAAAATATTTCAGAAATAAAAGGGAAAACACAACTTTCGAGCTTTACCTTTATCTTCAAAACCCAAATAATTACATAATGTGGTATTAAAAAGCATTAAAAAGTCTACTTACTTTTTTAAAAACATGACTACTCAAGTAAGAATTACATTTTCATTTATAACTAGCAGCATTTTCTTTTTTTGATAAATATTAGTTAAGAAAAACAAAATGCTTTGTGGACATCAGTAGAACTCTCAAAGAAAAAAATACAGAGAAGGCAAATATGATGCTGAATTCAAAGCAGTAACAAAATCACTTATGATTATTGGACAATGTGTTTGCAAAGCATGATAAAATAACACATTCCCAAAAAGGCACATTTCAAATAAATGGAGAAATGAATGCTGATAATGCTATAAACTACAATACAAAACTCTTTTAAAAACTCTTTCTAACACAATAATGTTTGTTTCAGACTGTGAATGCATGGAAGTTCCCTGGTGGCCTTTCAAACCCAGGAGAGAATATTGGTAAGTATCAAAGCAGGGTGGCAAAACGCTGAATTTTATACAGTTTTTAAAGTAAAGCTTGACGTTCTCATTATTGCCCACTATGATATATAATTTTAATTGTTATCAGTAACAGTCCATTTTTTCTACATCTTGGAAATTGTTTAACCCACTTTCTGTTCTCATAGTGTTCTCATAGCTTTAAGGCATTTTTCCAATGGCCAGTGCAGTACAGTACAGTTACAAGCTTGTATTCATGCATTTTGTCGTAGCTTACCTGTGCTGAATTAGGTTGCACTTGTTGCCATGCCAAACTGAATGTATGGGTGGAGATAGTAATAGTGCAGACCATTGATTGGTCATACAATTACCATAAAAAAGGCAGAATAAAAGCTGCATCACTCCCGGACCCCTACATTTGATTTATTTTGTATCTTAAGTTGATGTAGACTGTGTTAATTTATGTGGACTATCATAAGCACTATGAGATGTTAAGAACCGTCTACAAATTCCACTACAAGTGGCAATTGTAAGGGGTCCAAGCACTATGCACCTAGCGCAGGCAGTAGAACACAACTGATGGGCAAAGTTCTTAGAATGGCCTCTATTATAATAGGGTCCCAAATTTCACATATATTGTCCTTTTAACCTAGATATGAATGAAGCAAGAGTTATTGAAACTTAACAAACAAAATAATAATGTATTTTAGTCTATTTTATTTTAAAATCACTACAATTTTCTATGAGGAATGATGCTGTCATACCCCGCAATAAGGTATTGGCCAACTTTTTCACTGCTCATGAATTTTCATGTCTGTGTACTATACGGTCCGGTGGAAAAATGCCTTTCAACCAACATGAAAATCATATATATTTACATTTTACATAAAATAATACTATAATGCCACTCTTATTTTTGAACATTCGACCATTCAGAATTTTATACTAACAAAATTATAGTGATCTCACTTTATTTCGATCGCCCCCTCTAGATGATCTGTCTGGATTTTGGGTTCAGGTTAGGATTAGGGTTAAGGAAAATTGAGGTGAATTTAGTAGGTAATTAGCTGAATGTTCAATGCAAGATAAAAAACATCTACAAAGCATCTAGAGTGGCTTATCCAAATAAAGTGTTACCATCATAGCTGCTCATTATATCCATTTTTTACCATTAAGCAGCTTTTCATCCTCTTATAGAGAAACATGCGTCAAAATAAACAATCTGTATTCAGTCAAAAAAGAAAAAGCATCATTTGTTACCACATATGGGTTGCTGGTAGTACAACAGTGATATTTGTTCTTTTTTGCATTCTCATAAATGCTTGAAAAGCTCTGTTTCTACTTTACAGCTCAATTCCCATTTTACCTTGTGATTTCATGTGTGGCATAGAGCTTCCTTTTTTTACACCAACTCCTTGAAATATACTCAGAACCACATTCAGAAACAACACAAAACACATGCAAATGATAAAAGGACTTGATACTACAGTAAGAAATAAAATATCATCTCAAGTAATAATGTAATCTAAAATAGAATCTCAAGTCTCACTTAAATATCATATATTACATTAGTTTGACTTCAAGGAAAAGTTAACATAGGGAGACTGACTGGGATTGTTGCTGCTCTCTTCAAAAGGAAGCTCAAAATTCCACAGATACAGTATGGTAGTTTACAGTTTTATGGAAATGTGAATGAATAATTAAGCTATATCAGTCTGTTTCATCCAGAATTGTGGCTTCTTCTCATCTCGCTATGTTTTCTTTTACCACCTAAACTAGGTGCTACCGCTGTTCGCGAGGTGTTTGAAGAAACTGGCGTGCAATCAGAATTCCGATCTCTCCTGAGCATCCGCCAGCAGCACAATCATCCTGGAGCATTCGGAATGTCGGACATGTATTTGATCTGCCGCCTTAGTCCATTAACACATGACATCAGCTTTTGCACGCAGGAATGTCTGCGCTGCGAGTGGCTGGACTTGGTGGATTTGGCCAAAACCAAGGACACTACACCTGTAACGAGCCGCGTTGCCAAACTGCTGCTGTACGGCTTGGAAAAGGGGTTCGACAGCATTGATCTAAGCATGGAAGAAGTTCCCGCAGTGTACACTGGCCTGTTTTATCAGATTTATCACAGGAAACCTCCGGTGGGGCATGAATAGACCTCACTGAATCTAGAATGTCTGGAGAACATTAAGGCCCAATTTCCTAGCAACCAACTGGAACTGGAAGCCTATTGTGAGATTCTGGAAACAGTATTTAAAAGTCATTCATTATGGGATGTTTTCTAAGCTTGTGTCTATACAATCAATACATAAGTTAAATACAGTATTTGATGTAAATATTATATTTACAATCTTGTAACACTAATAAAAGTTGCAAGTAATATATTGTCATAAATGTAATAGAAACTACATAAAATTAACAATCCATAGTGTTTTTTTTTTCCTCCCACAAAATCCCTTTTGTTAAAATCAACTAGACGCAATGCAAGGTTATAATAGAAGACATATGGAAGTCTCAGAAGCAGCATAATTTAAACTCACATTATGTAGTTGTGACATTCTATCAAAGTGTGGACCCCAACTAAAAGACAATGAAGAGCAATTCCGACTTACAAAACCCTTTCCTATAACTTTGGTGCAGGGTCAAACTGGAATGACAGCCCAGCACAGCCTTTAGAACAATAGATCCTTCTACAAGCTTGTGAAAGAAGATTAGTTTTCAGTGTTTATAATCACGGCTGATCTGTGGAATCTGTAGCATTTTATTGTTTGATTGCTGGTTAAAAAAGATTAATTTTATATTATTATGTCACTCTATTTGGTTATCCACATTGCTTTTCACATCTCTGAAGAACGTTTCACCTTCAACTGGTGGTGAAAACTCACACAGAAGAAGTTCAGCCCTTGGCAGACATGGGGAGAAAGAGGATAGCCTTTTGGCCAGGTCCGGTTTTAGATCCACTCTTATACTGCCCCGTCCTCTTCAGGGCCACGTACCAATCTGGATATTTCCGTGATCTGTAGGTGTTGTAGTTGTTCGCCTCCAAACGCTCCAGGAAATGACATTCTTCAGTCGGTCGTCTCTGGTAGATAGAAAGCAAAAGCGAGATTGTTGATTATGTCAGGTGAAAAGTAAATACATAAATACACAAAACCCCTAAATGTATGGATCCACTGGGCTCAACTTTTTTAAACCAAATTCTTCTTTAACTGCATCTGCTAAAGGCAAATATGAAGACCTTCTTGCCAGCATCCTACTAACGTGTCACTACCATGTCAATGCTGTGCTAAGAATGCTTCACAACCCAAACAATACCTGCTCAGTAGTGGTCTTGTGGGGGTCTGAACCACTTATGAAATTATGCAGGATAACAGATGGACTACAATCTGTAATTATAGAGCTACAGAGTGTGCCTGTATGGTAAGTAGAGTTGATAAAGTGGACAGTGAGTGTAGACACAAGGTAGCTGTACCTAATAAAGTGGCCAGTATATGGTTCAAAATACCTTTTGGACTTTTAATGGACTTGAATGACCATATACTTTAATTGTGTTTATTTTATTAAAACAAATGACTGAACATTTCATTTTGTCTTTACCAAATGTTTTGGTAGTGACTATTTTAGCTAATTTTGAGCATAACTTTAAAACACTAGCCAGTACATGACTAGCAAATACAGCTTTGAACAGTTGTACATGTATAAAATCATGATATTTTTCATCAAAACACAAAAAAAATTAATTGCAGAAAATATGTGTTTCAGTAGTGACAATTTTTAATGTTACATGCTGATTTTCAGACTTTGGGATACATTTTCTGCAAAGCAAAGGGATCTAGCTGCTCACCATGTGGCCATAAGGGACAGGGATGTAGTCTCACTTCCTGCTCTAAAATGCATGGGTGTGGCTAAAATAAAGCTCCACCCATGAACTAAAACCCTTTGTGTTTCGGTAGTAACTGAAAATGTGGCAGCATTTTTTTCACATATCAGAGCTTATTACTATCTCAATGAATGCCTTGGATTTAAGTAGATTATAACACAATCTTTGTACATATCTATACTTAAATGTCCATATATGTCAGTTATGTATCAGTGAATTCTTGTGTGACATGCTAAACTTGTGCTCAAGATCTAGATTGTTCTCTAAAAATAGAGAACAGTAAAAACAAGCAGTGTTTGGTTCACTTAAAACTAAATTTAGAAGCTTAATTCTAAAGAACCTGAAAAAAACAGTAAGAATATTGGCTCATAAGGTCTGGATAATGTTCCCCAAACAGAATTAGGTTTTGATGCCAAGATTGCGTCAGTGTTCCCTGAATTCATCAGTGTTCATGATTTTGACATATTCTTCTGTTTTGGGAACAGTGTTTTCATTTGAATTTGGTGAGAATTTCACAAAATGACATTTTTATGGTTAAATAGGTCGTCGTGAAAGGAAATATTTTCCTTTAGTCAGCAGCAAAGAAAACTCCAGCAACACTTCATTGATTCATTCCTGTTGAACAGAGTAAAGGCAACAGTATCACAATTGTTTTACTGAGAGGCCAGACCAGCAGAGACTCTGGACACGTTTAATGAAGTCTCTGTGTGTTTGTATAATATAAGAGAGTCAATTAAGGCAAGGTTCTCCCTCCGTGACCCCCTGACCCAAATGCTTCAAGCTTAGCTGCACATGTAGCGTTGCTCTACTCAGCCATAATTCAAAAAAGAATAAGCACTGGAGTAGGAAACTTAGACACACAGACACAGGGCCTTTTGTAGAACAGAGTGTTAAAGGCACATTAGTTGGATTACTTGTCATGTTTGAATGTCAATAAAAGAACATCTTGAAACTTTTACAGACAAACTGGCATTCTCTTCACCTCTCCTGTTGTTATTTCTGTAGAAGTGCTTCAGCATTTCTATGCTTTTGGAGAGCTATCAGAATTTGACAAATGTGTTTTTCTCCTTGTTGCATTTGTTGCAAAGATTATCCACTCAGCTGACCAAAAAATAAGCAGTAATTTTGCAGGCTCAATAGTTCACATACATAATGTTGAGACTGTGTTATTATCAACAATGGCAAACATTAATAAATCCTCATGTGCACCTAATTTCCCCCATACATAACCATTAAAGAACAGGCCTAAATGGCCCAAACCTTTGCTTCAAAGGGTGGACCAAAGGTGTTTAGGTCCCCATAGAGTGACACTGCAAAGGCCCAAATGGCCCAAAACCATTTACGTACTCCATACAGAGACAACACAACTAACCCAAATAACCAACAGCTTTACATCACCTATACAGAGAAATTGCAAACCTCCAAATGACCCAAAAACATTTAGTTCCCCCACAGTGATGTTGCAAAGTCCCCAAAGGCCCAAAACCCTTTAGGTCCCCCCATACAGATATGCTGCATTTGAAACAATGACCCTAACATTAGGGTTCCCCACACAGAGACTCTGCAATTGTCTCAAACTTTTAGGTCCCCGTACAGAGACTCTGCAACTCATCCAAATGACCCAAACATGTAGGTCCCCCATAGACAAAGTCTACAATTGACTCAAATGATCCAAACCTTAAGCCCCCTGTACAGAGACACTGCAACTTATCCAAATGTCACAAATCTTTAGGTCGCCCATACAGAGGCACTGCACCTGACCCAAATGACTCAAAACCCTGCAAAGGCCCAATGGCCCAACCTTTAGACCCCCCATACAGAAACACTTGACCCAAACCTTTAGGTCCTCTATACTGAGACACTGCCAGTGACCCAAATGATCAAAGTCTTTATGTCTCGAGATGCTGCAATTGACCTAAACCTTTAGGTCCCCCCTACAGAGATGTTGCAACTGACTCAAACATTTAGTATCCCGATATAGAAGCACTGCAACTGCCCCAAATGACTCAAAAACGTTCAGGTCCCCAGTTCTGTGAATGTTCTAAAGTAGCAGATATATGGAGGGACGTTCTAAAGCAGCAGATATATGGACCTCTACAGTAGATATGAGATCTAAAGTACTTGATCTCAGTGTTGCACTGTCACCGCATTTATGTCTTTTAAATGATGACTCAGCTCTTCAGTTTTCTTCGATTCAACAAAGGATGCTGATGGCATTTTTAACAGCAAATTTGGATTGGACAACTTTGGATTGTCCCACAGCTTTCAGCTATGAAATTCTGGATATCTAGTTTTCAAAATATAGTTTAGATGGACTATCTTACAGCAAAGCTTAACAAGGCAAAACAGTTCACAATAAGAAAATGGAAGAATTTATATGACTCTTTAAGAATTTTAGTTTCCAATTGAATTATGTAATGTTGTTTAGTTGTGTAGTTGTTTATGTATTGTCTTTGTTTCATTTTTGATTTGTGTGTATTCTTAAAAATGTATGTTACCGTCATGCCTTCCCCTATCCTTTACCTTTCCCCACCCTTGTTGTAAAACATAATGAAAAACGCAATAAAAAGTGGATCACAAAAAAACGCTCACATCTCCTATACTGAGACGTTGCAACTGACTCAAACATTTAGTGTCCCGATACAGAGACACTGAAACTACCTCAAATGGCTCAAAAATGTTCAGGTCCCCCATACTGAGATGCTGCAACTGACCCAAATGTTCCAAACCTCTGCAAAAGCCCAAATAGGCCAAAAACCTTTAGATACCGCATACTGAGATGTCACAAATGACCCAACCTTTAGTTCTCTATATAGAGATACAGCAAGTGTTCCAAATGACTCAGATCTTTAGGTCCCCTATTCAGAGACTCTGCATGTGACTAACATGTCCCAAACCTTTTGGTCCTCCATAGTGAGATGCAACTGACCCAAATGAGCCAAAGCCACTAAGAGACTCTGCATGTGACCAACATGTCCCAAACCTTTTGGTCCTCCATAGTGAGATGCAACTGACCCAAATGATCCAAAGCCACTAAGAGACTCTGCATGTGACCAACATGTCCCAAACCTTTTGGTCCTCCATAGTGAGATGCAACTGACCCAAATGATCCAAAGTCACTAAGATGTGTAATAAAGTACATCTCAGTGGCTTTGGTCCTACTAAAGTATGCACAATGCTCTGAGCTAGACTCCGGTTACTCAGGTCAAGGCATGGAGGTGGACACTTTGATTTTCCAAGCCAGATTTATTAATCTAAGTTTTAAAATAATATGAACCATGAATAGAAATGAATGCAGGCCAAGCAAAGTCATAAACCTTCAGTGGAAACTTGGCTTTGGTAATGTTGTCTACTGTAATGATCTACACTGTTTACAGTCCTATCACATACAGTCTGTGTGACACTCTACAGGACACTGGTCTTAAAACCATGCACACAGTTAGGAGCACCACAATAACATTCCAAAAATACACCAGCAAAGAATATGATTTCAGGGGCAAACTTGATGAAAAATGATTGAAGATGTGTTTATTCAAGAGAGAAGACTTGATAATGAGAGTTATGACACATATTTCCTTTAGTGGTGGTCTTTTGCCTTCTCAGTGTAAACTAGCAGGCCAAATTTTTCCTTCTTTAAACATCATAAGGAAATGTGTGTTACCATCTGTTTGACCATGAACCACATCAGTCGCAGTGTGGGCGGGTGGGCAGTTCATTCATTTGTGATGATATACAGTGTCTGCTCTGAACCTGTTGTGTAACCACAGGCAAACAGAGTGGACCGACTCACTATTTGACTCCAGTGACCCCTGTTTCAGGCTTACACAGGACCAAAATTGCTCAATTCATAAAATAATACTGTTAATCCACTGTGGCCCAGATACTAATAGATATTTTCATGATACACAGTGTGCATCACGATATTTAATATTTCTTAGGGTTATTAAGTTGGAACAGACAAAAACGAGCAGTGCCACCACTATCAAAACACTATCAACAGGGTTGGGATGTAACAGAATATTGATAATCTGTATTCAGTCAAAGACACATTTTGTAAAGGTAATATCCAGAATACATTTACTTTTTACATTTTTAAGAAATGGTTTTAGAATATTTACTCATTAAAAAAAAATACATACAAGCCTCAAAAAAACACCATCAATGCTTGTTTATCAACTTCATTTAGAATGTAGCCAACATGCTATTTAGTCAAATTCTAAAGAAGGCCTCAATCAATGGCTTCCTTACAAACACAGAAGTTCCTACTAAAGCCTGAGTACACTGATAAATCAATGTGATGAGTCAGTTATTAATCTGAGTGTTACTGAGCTCTGCTAAAGCCTGAGTAGACTGATAAATCAATGTGATGATCAGTTATTAATCTCAGTGTTACTGAGCTCTGCTAAAGCCTGAGTAGACTGATAAATCAATGTGATGAGTCAGTTATTAATCTCAGTGTTACTGAGCTCTGCTAAAGCCTGAGTAGACTGATAAATCAATGTGATGAGTCAGTTATTAATCTGAGTGTTACTGAGCTCTGCTAAAGCCTGAGTAGACTGATAAATCAATGTGATGAGTCAGTTATTAATCTCAGTGTTACCGAGCTCTGCTAAAGCCTGAGTAGACTGATAAATCAATGTGATCAGTTATTAATCTGTGTTACTGAGTTCTGCTAAAGTCTGAGTAGACTGATAAATCAATGTGATCAGTTATTAATCTGTGTTACTGAGTTCTGCTAAAGCCTGAGTAGACTGATAAATCAATAGGATCAGTTATTAATCTCAGTGTTACTGAGCTCTGCTAAAGCCTGAGTAGACTGATAAATCAATGTGATCAGTTATTAATCTGTGTTACTGAGCTCTGCTAAAGCCTGAGTAGATGAATAAATCATGGTGATCATCTGTTATTAATCTCGGTGTTGCTGAGCTCTGCTAAAGCCTGAGCAGACTGATAAATCAGTGTGATCAGTTATCAATCTCAGTGTTACTGAGCTCTGCTAAAGCCTGAGTACACTGATAAATCAATGTGATCAGTTATTAATCTCAGTGTTACTGAGCTCATTTGAGATTAAACTAAGCTCTTTAGGAGTGGATATGTCTGTGAGTGATAAGTTTACCATCAATGTTATACTGATTGGGGATTGTGGGAGCAGCAGTGGACTGAAGCAGGCAGTGAGACAAAAAGGATTTTGGAATTTCATTTAAATAATGAGAACATTTTTCAAGTATTTGATTTTGTCATTAAGAACTGCCATTTGCGTAGGCATGCTGTAACTCTGAGTATGCTCAGATATAGCTTTTCTCCTCACTGTTTCTGCAGCTACAACCCTGCAGGTGGATGAAGACCAAGCAAAACAGACCAGAATGACTACAAAAAAGATGAAAAGATATGTGGACACTTTAGTTGCAGTCTCCAGAAAATGCTACATGGAGATGAGTTTGATTGGTGGACGGGATCCATATAAACTGCATATCTCTCCTGTTCAGAACACTCCAATGTATGAGGTTTTACAAAAATAAATAACAATTATTCTCAGAGCTCTTAAATAATAAACACACTGAAGCTTTTTATTTGCCAGCTTCTTATTTGAATTTTCTATTCCACTTTAAATGCTGCAGCAGTAACATTTAGGCTTATGCTTAGAAGGAACTTCAAAGCTGGTGAAAAAAGAAGCCATCATCATGTTATGGAAGCATTTGTAGACATCCAGGATACTTCAATAAATGCAATCTTAATCAGGCCCTTTTGCTTGGAATTGTTTAATAAGCAGCTCATTCAAAACCATACACTAGTGCACAAGTGCACTTCTAGTGGTACTGCACTATTGTTTAGATACTATTTAGTGTGATAGTATAAGGTTTGGGACGCAACAGAAGTAAGACAGCAAATAAATCTCAGCCATTTTAATTTCAGGTTTCATTTGCAGCAGCAGACTCAAACGTTTTGGTTAATATGCTTTAAACTAAGTATTCCTAAAGAAAAGTTTCCCTGCCCTTGCTGGGATGGTTGTTGCTTGGTTGATTATGACAAACTTATCAAAGGGCAGCTGAATGAATTTGAAGTTGCCTACCAAAATAGTGGCCACACGATTGCATGATGTCATCAAAATACTATAAATAGTGATAAATATGTCTTATCACCCAGCCCTACTATGACCTTACTGAACATTCAGCAATCTTTGTTTCATTTCTGTTTGCCTGTCCATATTACATCTTTTTAATTAAGGAAGACAAAATACTTAAAAATGTATTACAGCTAATTAATAATACTTTATGTTAATCATCTTCCTTCATATGAAGGGCAAGTTTTGCCTAAACACTGATTTCACAGTTTTCTTATGAAACTACTGTGAAAACACAGTGAAAGCTTGGAGGGATTTTGGCCTACAGGTTGTGTAGCTTCTTTTTACCGGCCCCTTACTGGCTGTTCCACCAGTGTAATGGGAAGCAACTTGGATAATGTAAATGAATATAAATTAATATAATCAAATAAAATATTTTCCCATTAATTCTGTTATCAGATTAACTAGGATACTGTTGGCTGTCTGTTTGTGAAATATTGGGAAGCTGTGTTGAGCTGCTAGTGAGCAACGAGGGATGAAAGAAGAGGAATGAGAACAATTTACACCTCTCCACAAAGATGGCTGTGCTGAGTTAAAGCAGGCACAACTGTGATCTTATTGATATCAAATCAGTGTACTGGCACAATAAAATAGCATTTCAACACAACATAACATATTTTCATAAATTTTAACTAACTTGCTTACCTACGTAGATGAAAATCTATTTTTAAAAATCATACAGATTTCCAAACTATATTCTGACAACATTATGGAAGAAAAAAAATCATCTTTCATTCAACAGAAGGATCTCCAAGACAAATATTTATACATTTACACATATTGTTTCCCCCTAAGAGAAGCCTGCTTAGTCTTTACTGTATTACCTTGTTGAAAACTGGCAAAGAATACAATTTTATATTAAACACATTCATAACAGTTGGGTGTCTTTTTTTTTACAGAATGCCTTTCTAAAGCAGGGCAGTGTTTGTGTATATAATGCACTCACCGCTCCATATAGCCTCCCGTCAGAGCTCATGGCCAAGTAGCGGTTCGCAGACAAGCCTTTGATGACCACCTCTCCTACCGACGTGGCCTGGAGCTGCAGCCGGACTGTCAGGACAGGACAAAATAACAAAGGCGTCATTTACCCAATTTTCTTGAGGTGGCAGTTTTGAGGTGGCAACTTTATGTCTATACCATGTAAATTACAAAGCTTAACTCCCAAACAGTTGGGACAGTATGTGAAATGCTAATAAAAGCAGAAAGCAGTGATTAGTCAATTTCTTTTGACCTGTATTAAATTGAAAACAACACAAAAAAGCATATTCAATGTTTTACCTTAATTTAATACCTAATTTAATACCTAATTTAATACGTTTACCTTACCTGAATTTAATGTTGTTGTTTTGTGAATACACTCTCACTCCAAATATGATGTCTGCAACACATTCCAAAAAATTTGGGAGAGGAGCATGCCGTCATGCTAAATCATGCTAAATCATGCAGAAATGTTTCTTGGTGTTGTCATGCAGAAATAAGCATGAATGCCCCTGAAAAAGACGTCATCTAGAAGGCAGCATATGTGTATGTATCTTTCAGTGTTAATGGTGCCTTCACAGATGTGCAAGGTACCCATGCCATGGGCATTAATTCACCCGTGTGCCATGACAAACCCTGGCCTTAGAAATTTATGCAGGTAACAATCTGGATGAACCCTTTAGTCTTAGGCCCACAGAATACAATGTGTATTATTTCCTGAAACAATTCAAAAGGTTGGCTTGTCAGAGCACAATACATGCTTCTACTGTGCCTCAGTGTCCATTTCAGATAAGAGCCCAGGGAATTCGGCAGCACTTCTGGACGTGGTTGATATATTACTTCCAATTTGCATAGAAAAGTCTTAGCTTTTGTGGATGCAGCAACCAACAATGTTCATAAAGGTCAAGGCCTTTCCCAGATGCTTCTTTTAAACCCAAGCATGACTACATCAGTCTTAAATTGCCACTGCCCTAACTTTTTCAGGACGTATTGCAAGCATGAATTTCAGAATGAGCGTATGTTTCAAAAAACAGTAAAGTTGATAAGATAAAACATACGCATACAACGCTCATTTTGAAAGCTCAGATTACTTGATAAATCACCAAAATAATCAGTAGATCTCTAAATTGTTATTAAAATAGCCCAAAAGTTTAATTAGTCTCTAAAAACATCTGAAAAATTCAAATGGGCATGATGCCTCTGGTGCTTCCGTTCAGGATGTCAACAACACAGCTACCTCGGTGCCGATCACAGGCACACCATCCCTCACTACTAATTCATGAACACCCCTCTAATCACTTCCACATGTACAGCTAGGCTCAAACTCAGGAGTATGCCGTCTGAATAGTCTTGAGGTTTGACAGAAAAGAGACGGTTCGCCTCCTGGTGGGGCAGATTTGGGAAATTTGAGCATTCTTTGATGCTGAGATCATGTCTTTTTGCAGGGATTTCATATGCGTGATGGGTCAACTCCAAACAACAGTGAACACATGATGCGCCTTGGGCTGCCCCAGATTTGTTTGGGAAAATCTCATAGAGGAGTTTTCCTTATTTTTCTATTTTCCACATTTTAGGATAGCAGTGAAGACATCAAAACTGTGAAATGACACATGGGGAGTTACGCTGTGAGCAAAACAAGTTCAGGGTGAGCCACCTGGGATGCTTTTCCAACAGGTTTGAAGAAGATGCACTTATGTTGAGACATTGTTGGCTGCTGAAAACATTGTATATATGCTATAACATTATATATAAGCCAACAAGAATCCATATAGTCTGAAGGAAAACAAGCATCTGCAAAATGATAACTTTACAGAAGGTAAAAATTGTTCATTTAATGTAAGTTAATGTAAAAACATTTTTGGAGCATCATGAAAAAATATAAAAGACGGCCACCATGTTCAGTATTGATATAGAAATGGAGATACTTGGTTGTGGTATACATTGTAGGTGGCATAGGGGAGAAAGATGAATGAAAAAAAAAGAGAAAATCACTGTTTTGTTTTGGGATTTTTCTTCCTGCTGTTTACTCATCTCCACTTCCCACAGATCTCCTATCACATGATGCTACCATGCTGGGAGGGTGAAGGCTAGCACATGCTTCCTTCAAGGCACATGAAGACACCTGTGCACAAAGCGAGGTTCATAAAGACATGGTTTGACGACATGGTTTGGTGTGGAGGAACTCCAGTGGCCTGCACAGAGCCCTGACCTCAACCCCCTCTGAACACCTTTGGGTTGAAATGGCTCACATGGTGGATTCAGATGGGAATAAAAACACTGAGAAACACCATGCGTTACTCCACCTCCACATGTAAAACTAATCTCTTCCAAATAGTGTTTTGGACTCCTGGCACCAGTTAGTTGTGACATACCCAAGGATTGAGCTTGCAATGTCCCTGTAATAGGCCCAGGAGAACTACTTGGGGAATTCCACCAATTTATCAAAGTGTCTGCATAATTTCGGCAATTAAATGTACATAGAAGTGGGAGTAGTTTTATCTGAAATGCATCACTGTAGAGAAATTTATCCACTTAGAGTTCTTTACAGTGGTGGCAATGGGGACCTGGGGTCGTGATGTCTACAACACAAATATAGCCATTTAATTTACTATCCAAAATAACTTGTAAACCTACATGTCTTCATATATATATATATATATATATATATGTTGATGATGGTAAAATAGCAGTTTCTTTATTTTCTTTGGGGACTGTTTTGCCTTACAATGCCTGCAGGAGTATTGTAGTGTGTTCTGCATGTTAATCTTAGAGTATTAGTTCTACAGCAGTTACTCTCTGGGTTTATTCTGTAAGGACTCTTATTGTGAAGGCAGAGCTATCCCGCTGGCTGTGTTGATGTGTAAGAGCAGACAAGAACTGGAGTCAGTTGGAGCTGGAAGCCGAGAGAGTTCAGATATTGCTGGCCAAGCCTTCTCGTCCAACATCAGTGCCTGACCTCACAAATGCTCTTTTGACTAAATGGGCACAAAGTCCCACCGATACAATCCAAATCTTGTGGAAAGCCTTCCCGGAAGAGTGGAGACTGTTACAGCCACAAAAGTGGGACCAACTCCCTATTAATGCCCATGGTTTTGGAATGGGATGTCCGACAAGTTCATATCGTTGTCATGGTCAGGTGTCCGCATACTTCTGATCCTATAGTGCATTTCTAAGGTTTGTTTTATGATGGTAACTGAATCTTTACTGACGTGGAAGCATATAGTCTGTAAGAATGACTGACATGGCGGATTCAGATGGGAATAAAAACACTGAGAAACACCATGCGTTACTCCACCTCCACATGTAAAACTAATCCTGTCCAAATAAAGCTTTGGACTCCTGGCATCAACCACATAGCTGTGGCACCGCCAAGGATTGAGCTCACAATCTAGCTGTGATAGGCCTGCCTGAACTACTTGGGGAATTCCACCAATTTAACAAAGTGTCTTCATAATTTAACTAATTAAATGCACACTGAAATGCATCATTGTGGAGAAACATATCCACTCAGATTTTTTTACAGTGATGGCCATGGAAAATTATATATATGTATATGCAGTTTTTCTCTGGGTTTATTCTATAAGGACTGTTATTGTGAAGGCAGGGCTAGCCCGCTGGCTGTGTTGATGTGTAAGGGCAGATAAGACCTGAAGTCAGTCGAAGCTGGAAGCTGAGAGAGTTGTGGACGTGACAGCTGAGAGTACAGGTCTTAGCTAGGCGTAGAGTGAACTGTTAGAACACAGTTGAGTACAGGATGGCCTACAACAGCTCTTTAATAAAGCACAACAACTTGTGCAAAAGCTATGTCCTCTTTCTTGGCAGTGAATGCTACAAATATATTTAAAACATATATGTTTTAGGCCAAAATCTGTCATAAAACGATGTTCTCAGGCATCAGTATTCATAACTATTTCATGCAATAGCTTTTTCCAGACATCTGGTTCCTATCACCACCACTGTGTTCAATTCTGACTTGGTAGGTTTCTCTACAGCAGAGCATGCAACATCAAACCACTCTGAATGCCTTTGTTTGCGCCTTTATGATTTAATCATGCAGAAATTGCACAAAATTGGTGGAATTCCCCTTTAAGACCATCAGTGGCTTACATTACTCACAGTGGGTGCTGTGTGTGTGGATTAGAAATAGAGAGAGTGAATGAAAGTGAAAGGAAGACAGTGTAACAGCTCTAATTTTTCTCTCTCCCACACGCACAGATAGCATTGCTAAGGATAGGAATGTCCAGTTGAGTCTGTGTGGTCAGGCTTTGATGTAGAATCACCACTAATTGCTCTAACCACGCTCTGTAATCAGACTCAGCCTGACCTCTTGAAACACTCAACCATAATGAGGACACAAGATCTGAACACACACCAGCTACCAAAGAGTCCTCAAGAAGAATTCTTCACATGCACATACTTTCAAATTATTAAAGGGTCCATATCCTACAGGTTTCATGCATTTACTTTTTATCCCTTGTGGTGAACTGAGCTGAGGTTTTATGTAACAAAAGCAGCCGTAATTCATTTTTACCTGGCAATTTTATAACTTCTCTTAGAACTGGTCAAACAGTTTGTCACTGTGCCTTTAAAGGGCCTTTATCATGGAAAAACTGGATATTCCTCACTTTTTGAAAGAAGAGAGTTTGGTGTAGTAAGTAAAAATTGTTGAAGTTTCAAAATGTACAGTTAATTCTACAGAAACTAGGCTACAAAAACCATTCACCATTTTTGTGATGTCACAAAAACCTATGTATTTACATACATCCATCTATTCAGCCTACAGCAATTTAGCTCCACCATTCACACTGAAGTTATAAGGAGTGTTTCAGCCCGGACTGCTTTTTGAATAAAGTGCAATACAGTGCAATCAGAGCAGAGCTTATTTATATATACTACCCTCAAACAACCTGTTTAACTCTAAAGGATAAAGAGAGGTTGGAAATTGTTATGTAAACATGAATTATGACTGAGTTTGCTACATAAACCTACACAAATGTCATAAGTAATAAGTGAAAATAAGTTAACGCATCTTCTACAGAGAACACATTTCAATGCAATTAATTTAATTTAAA